CTGATGCACAGACCAGGCTTGTCCCAGTTGTCAGACAGCCCCATTTTGCAGCAATGCCAGTTTTGGCTTATTTGCCCAAGAATGAGTGCAGCACAAGGAGCTCTGCCCTGGGCAAGGGTAAGAAACCCRCCAGGGTTTTTGGGGGTCCCCACACACTAGCAAGCCTCCAAAGGTCCCCTTTGAGCACCTGTCCCTGTTTCCCTGGGATAACCTGCCCAGGGGAGGGGACCTTGCTGGCTGYACTGATGCTGTCACAGGTCTATTTTGTGGGCTCAGTGGCCCCCCTTCTCAGCCAGCATTAAAGCCAGCCAGCCACTGACTCCACAGCAGAGGCTCCCAGAGGACAGGCTGGAACTGTTCATCYGGAGACAGAGATCACTTTTAAAGGGAAATCCTGCTCATTTCCCAAAATGAGGTAGGCTTTTACCAGCACGCAGCTCCAGTCAAAGGCACTTGTGGCACCAAATGCATCACTAAAAGAAAAGGACTTGCTCTGTGGCACAGAACTGTGGTTTTCAAAGCTAACAGGGAGAAAGGGCACTGTAAATACCTGGAGGAAGCGTGGGCACAGCTTATTAATAGACACTTGCTGTGAGACTTTAGGCTGTATGACAAGGCTTTCACTGTCCTCCTGATGTCCTCAGATGCCCTGTTCTGTACTGAGCTGGGCTCTGTAAGGATGCAGCACRTCCATCAGACCTGCTAATTTAGGGGCACAAGATGGGTTAATGCAGCTCACACCAGTGCTTTCATTACTTGAGAATTCAGCACCTCTATCCAGCTGCTGGGGAGAAGCTTCTGTCCCCAGCTCCTATAAAGGATCCAGCCAAAGATTTTGATGGGCACAGATGARGGCCTGAGGAAGGCAGACAAAGATGCCAAGCAGGGTCATTCCCTGAAAACCTGAATTGCAGGRGTTTAACACTTCCTGAACTGCCAGAAGGAGCTGATTTTGTTATCTTTACACTCTGGCTCATCCACTCATTCCCCAAAAGGCTGCACAAAGTATTTGCTCTCTGTTTTCTCTCTTGTACTGCTGTCAATACAACTTCTGAGTTTTGAATCAAAAGCCACTCCTGATATTTAAAGCTATTATGAACTGGACTGGGTTTATGCATTCCTGCTTAGCAAAGCCTTGTCTAACAGAGGGTGCCTATATCCTCTCCCAGTTAAAGCCATAACAGAAAATAAACACCTGGTGTGAGTGACAGAACAGTGACAGTCCCTACACTGCCACACTGCTGGAATCTTGCAGGGTCACACAAGTTGCACCTCTTGTTTCCAGATTCAGGCTTTCCTGTCGAGAGTATCAGAAATATGGTCTGTTTTTGGGGACAACTGGCTATTCACCCAGGGAGGAAGGGAAAACAGTCCTCAAACAGCCCTGCTGCCCCAGGTGATGCTGGTGARAGCAGGTCCATGGGCAGTAAGGGCCTTTACCTTCACACTCCTGGGCTATTTCAGCACTTCTCCTCCCAGCTTGTTGATTGCTCAGGGCCTAAAGATGCACAGACTCATGTGATTAAATGGCTCTTTCTGTTGCCATTTTTATTTTTAGGAATATCACCGAAACCTTCACCATTGCTGCTTGGAGTTAATGGCAAAACAGGTGAGTTCCAGATTCTGGTGAAGGGGATCTCGAGGCAGGCAGCCCAGCTGGGCTGGGATGTGGCCTGGTTTCCCTACTGTGTTTACAGTCCATGCCCTGAGCAGGGACATGACTGAATCATGGCAGTGTCCTCAGCAGCTTCTGACCATGCTGACCCCTCCCCAAAAGGTTAAAAACATCTGTGAGATGAAGACAGGCTGGGATCAGCAGCAGCCAGCCCAAGGGATTGCTGAGCACCCAGGGATGCTGCCTTGCTCAGGATGCTGMCCCAAAGGGACATCCATGGACAGCCCCTTCCCTTTGGGTCACTGGGGTGGGGGACACGAGGCTATCCGTGTTTCATCCTCAAGATTCATTTTGTGGCTTCACTCTGAATCCTTCCCCACTTTACACCAGGCAGGCTGCAGAAAAGAACATCCTGAGAGAGAACAGGAGTTACTCCAAACGGAAAAAACACTTTGCAAAATGCRTTTCTCTGAGACCTGCTCAGCAGTGGGGAAGCACTGGAGGGATGGGAGTTGGATTGTCACCCTCCTGTCCTTCCCTGGGGTGGGTGAGGCTGGCTCCATCACCATGACACACTCTGGTGCTGCTGGAAGGACTGGTGGATGTGTTCCTTGTCTGATTTCAATGACAGGGCCTGGTACCCCATGAGACCCCCTGCCCTGGAAAAGCCACAGCAGCCACCTGGCAGAAGCCATAAAGTACCTGGCAGTGAATTAAAYCCTCCTGAGCAGCTGCTTCAGGGGCACAGAGGCTCCTCTAATTTCTTCCTGCTTTCTGTCTGTCCCAGGTTGTGAGGAAAAATCTCAGAAGCAGTGCTGGCATGTTGGTTACTGGGTGGTGACTGCAGTGCTGTCACTCTTGGGCTTTGCCCTCAGCCTGGTGGCCTCCCCTGGGCTGTCTGTCCCGCCCACTACGCCTGGCATAGACAGCAAAGGAGCCACCATGCAGGAGGAACCACCAGGTGACAGATGGCTAGAGAGAGGATGCATGTCTTTTGGAGAAGATTTTGCATTTGGAAAGCTTTGGCAAGTTTTAAGTAACTCCAGTTTTGCCCCTTGCAGTAAGCAGTGGAATATTTTGGAAGTATCTGTCAGCAAACCAAGTGTGCCACTGAAGCACAAATGTGGGGGGGAAAAGCCCTAAAGAATTTTAGGACAGAGTGAGCACATTCTTTCACTGATTTCCATGTGGATGGCATCACAAGCCTGCAGCTGTACACATGTGGGCACACACACTAATTGATGGCTAAAGTGTCCTCTTTCCAGGACTTTGCCATTATCAAAACACTCAGATCCCTCTGCGAAATCATTTCCCAAAGCACTGGCTTTGGCCTGTGAGGGGCTGCTGAGCAGCCTGTYCCCTGGGCACAGGGTCCTGGCAGGGTGTGATGTCCGAGTGGCACGGCCACAATCGCCCCGTTGTGCCAAACGTGGAGCTCCGGGTGCACTGGGAGCACTTGACCACAAAGACCTGAGCTGGGCTTAAAAGAGCTCTTGGAGTGCTCGCCTGCTAAGAGCCTTAACTTCTTACTGCATTTTGCCAGGGTTTAGGCAAAGCAGGGCTCCCAGCAGGGCGCTGGATTGATTTCCTTTCCCATGAAAAAAGACTTATGACTTSGTGTTTGTTCCTTGTCCCCAAATCCCATTTTTTTCCAGGTAGAGGAGAGAGGAATTTGATGGATTATAATTAAGGAGCTGTTGTTCTGAACAAGGAGGGGGGACAGGAAGGTTAATGCAGGATGTGGCTGAATTGCCTGAGGAAGAGATGTTTTAATGGCAAAAGCCTTGTGAGAGGAGAGTTTTAGGGCTCTTCTTTCCTGCCTAGCAGGTGGGTATTTACAGGAACACTGTGGTTGAGTTTATTTTGGCTGTAGGTGGACATTGGACTTTCTAGACCCCTTTTTTACTCTGCAGTGATGCTCAGCAGCAGTAACTGTGACAGGAGAGGGGGATTTGTACTGCTTGTGTCAGGAAACCCCACTGCAGGGTCATCAGGAAGAAGCTGCTGACAAAACCACAGAGGTCCCATATAAAATAAAGTATAAGCAACTGCTAATATATAATAGAACCCTTCCCAGGCCTCCAGCACCACTCAGCCCATGAGCCCCAGAGCGCTCTACAAACAGTAATTAAAACTTCCCAGCCCCCAGCTTTGCCGACGGTGCTGAATTCATTTTCCAGTGTGGGAAAATAAGCCTTTTATGATTAAGAGAGGCAACRCAATTTTAACAGCAGGAGAAGTTASTGATGACACATAAGCTGGGGTGTGAGCCTTGGTCCTTCCCTGGCAACAGGGGGCTTTTCAAGGCCACAAGAAGTGCCTGGTCTCTTCTCCAGCATGTACATTACGCTTATCTGACAGTGCAGGGAGCAGCACAAGACTCCCAGCTCCATCCATTCAGTCCAGTGGATTCAGTCCAACCTGCTTTGCAGAGCTGGAGGCTGAAGGGAAGATAAGGGCATGTGGGGAATATGGCTAGAGATGCCTGTGAAGAGTCCCTTGTCCAGTTACTCCTCCTGGAGCATCAATCTGCCTTATCAAGCACTGTCAGGTTCAGTGTGCCACCCACCTGACTGTGTGTCTGGTGTCCTTGAGAAATGTGGTACCAGAAACATCCTACAGGAAGGAAAAGCACACCTGAATATACAAGGGCTTGGCTTAGTTCAGAGCTGGCACTGCAGACCAGAAACACTGACCTCTGCTTTTGGGTTAACTTAACACAGTAATGGGAGTGCAGCATCAAAAAGCCTGTCCCTGTCCCTCTCCCGGTTCCTGCCTGCTCTGTGCTCTCCAGGAGCCCTTGGAGAAAAGTTTTGCACCACTGGGTATGGACACAGCTYTTGGGTTCAGTATGAGCCTGTGCTGCTTTCAGGGCCCCTGGAGCTCTGGGCCAACATTCCCTTCCCATGGYTAATGTGCTGGTCTCCAGTGCCAGCCCAGGCAGCCCCCACTGCCTCCCCTCCATCCCACCACTGCCTTGCAGGCTGGCCAGCCAGATCCCCCTCTTCTCTTAGCTTTGTGAGTCCTTAAGGACCGTTTGGGAGGAAAAAGCAATTTTAACTCAGGAAACAGATTATCTGCCTGCCCTGCCAACACCGCCCTCAAATCACGGAACCCAGAGCCTCTGCCCCACCTGGAGCAGACATTGGACTGTCTGGAAACCACTGGGCTTGGTGAGAGATCCCATGGCAGAGGGGAAGGGCCCAAACAACCAGAAATTTCAGCCTCCTCTCACTGTTGGGCTGTTTCCAGCCACATGCCAGCACCACCTGTGTCTGCTGCTCCAGGGAGTGCTGCTGCAGTCTCCCAGCAGCTGGAGAAGTGCTCCTGGAGCCAGCAGTGCTAACTGAGGATTATTTAGTTCTTCATAATGGATTTTCCGTACCTGTCATTATTTCCAGCCCTGAGTCAAGAGAAAGGGACAGAGACTTTGCTGGGAGGTGGCTGGCTTGAAGGGCTTTGGTGAATCCTGGGGTTTTGCAGTTGAGCTCTGGAGAGCACTGGGCACTTACTCTGTTTCTCTCATCATCCCTGCAGATTGATCCCCATGGAGAACAGGGATCCAGTTTGGGCTCACTGTGCCTYGAGTGTGGAAGGGACAGTCTTCTGTAAAGGAAAAACAGAGACCTGGAAATCTGCTGCTTTCATGGTGCTTTCTTTGGGGCTAACTTAGTTGCTGGCAATCAGTGCAACCATGAAGAAAGTAGCCCATAGGACTCTGCACAGAGTTCCTAATTCCTATTAAATATATAGGAAGAGCTGGAAGAGAAGTAGCAGCACTGCAACAGGGAATGCTCCCTGTGGACAGTGTAATTTCAAATTTATCCATGGAGGGRGTCTCCCACTTGCCCAGCAGGCCTTGTGGAGGCCAGGAAGGCTGAGAGGGGACTGCTCTGCAACAGTAGTTCCACAGTCTCCACTCCATCACCTTTCTGGGCTTTTCTCTCTGAGCCAAAATGATGCCAAGCTACAACTGTCCAAGTCCTTCACACCATGCTCTTTCTCTATCCCTGCTCTGGACTGAAAGGTGATTTCCCAGCTCGAGGTGCACCATCAGAGCAAACTGTGCTCACAGAAAGCCCCACTGCCTGGCAYAGCCCAGCCCCACCACCCACTGCAGCTCATTTACAGCAGCAGAGCTCTGAGAGACTGGGCTGAGCTGGAGCTGGCAGGGCATGAGAGTTGATGCATCCATCCTGTTTGATGCTTTGATGGCACCCTCTGTTTCTGACCTAGGCTCCAGGTAGGCTCTAGAATTGTAACAAAGCCATAGGTTAAACAGGAATGTCATTTCAGTAAAGCTGGATCGATCAGAAATGATTTCCCAGATGGCAGCAGCAGATGGAGGAGAGCCCACCCTTGCTGAGGGTCACTGCTGGCAGGARAGAAGGTTCACAGGGCTGAGCAAGAGCATTTGTCTGAACTAACGGGCCACAGAGACATTTGAAGGGAAGTTTCCTTTGGAGCAAAGGGGCAGGTCTCTGCTTTCACTTACCATCCATCTGTGGCAGCTCTTTCCTCCTCTTGGCACTYGGTTCTCATCCCTCAGCTGACATCCCATGGCAGCAAACACTAATCACATCCTCCTCCTAAGACCAGATAACAGGGAAAGAGGCTTGGCAGGCCAAGAGACCTCCCAGCAGCCCCTGCAAAGCCAATCTCGTGGCCTGGGGTCCCCCCAGCGCAAATCCCTGCGGCTCTTGTTTGCTGAGCTGGGACAAAGTGGACACCRGGGCTTTAGCTGATGTTGGCTAGAAAATAACCGTGAGAAAGGAATAAACCAATTAATTGCTGACCCATTGACAGCCCACACCTCTCCCCCACCTCCCCCTGCACAATAAAACCTGTCTCTGCAGCTCGAGCAGATTTAGGGTTGCTGCAAAGAGCCTAGAGGAAGAAAAAAACCCTTTCCCACTCCAGCTAATAATATTTCCAGATAATCTGTTTGAGGCAGCACCCTCTGCAAACCAGGAAAGCCTTTAAGAGCCGTTAACACCTTTATTCAGACTTCCTCATCCTCCCCCAGACAAGCTGTGATTAATTATCCAATCCACCCCGATCCCCCTGGGAAACAGCTCTGGGGCCGGGCGTTCATGCGAGGATTTGCAGGGCCCCGTGTGAGAGCAGCTCTGCTCTCGCCGCTGGCTCCCGATAAGCAGGAAAGGGCTGATGGGGAATCAAGTGCTTCCAGCATGCACTTACATCAGCAAGGGGGTGGATGAGGGAGGGCAGGTTCATGTCTTGGCAGCACTCATGGCTTTTTCTTTGATGGTGTCCACAGACATCACCCCTGGACTGTCCCTGGAGCCCTGCTCTSAGAAGTTGCCCCTGGAAGAGCCCATTTGGTTCCCACTTGGATTTCACAGCCCTCCTTCCACCTTCATGGCTCTCTGACTCAGMTTGCTTGGAGGATACTTTCCTACTGTTTTCCAGTCCTGCCAAAGGTGCTGGGGATGGAGAGGGCAGGGAGGAGAGGGGAATTGCTGCCTCTCAAGTTGCTGCAGTGGCTGGGGTGCATCACTCAGGGTGCTCTGTGCAGGCCAATGCAGTTCATGACACTCATCCTGCACATGCACTGTCCCACCTGTGCTGCCTTTACCCACCAAACCCCATGCCTTTTTGTGTCCCAGGGTAACTCTCTCATCCCTCTGGCTGCACACAGCCCCTCCTGGCTGTGCAAATGGAGGATCAGAGCACGCCAAGGTCATGGGAATGCCAAGCACTTTACTGAACCCAAGAGGGGCAAGTCCTCCTTTCAAGTCCTCCAAATGCCAGTCTCCATCCCATTAGAGATGACACCAAATCCATGTCCACCACAGCCCTTCATCCATGGTAGCTGTAGTCCTTAGGCTGTGTAAGGATTAACACATTAATGGCTACCCTGCCCCTATCACCTTTGCTATGGCAGAGTGCAGACATGGCTCTTCTGGGGTCTGTGGTAGTGTCATGCACATATTTTAGGATTTTCTCACTGTACAATGGCCCTGAAAATCCCTCATTTCCAGGGGAGATCCGTCTCCCCGTCACACCCCCGAGACTGTCACATGCTTGCTGGGAGGGGGAACTGTAGGGCTGTCATGTCCACATGGTGCAGCCACAGAAAACCTGCAGTTAAGGAGACACAGCAGCCTTCCTTACATGTTCAAAGCCTAGATTCTGTGGTTTGATGACACTTGAAGGAGCTCCTTTCTGTTGGACCCTGTCCAAGAACTCACTCCTGTGCACTGCATGTTGTCTGCTGGTCTATTTATACCTGCCAGGGGCAAAACCTCAGAAATATCCTGGTCTACCACCTCAAAGCAGCATCTGCCATCACTGTTTTCTACCATCCACCTCTAGAAACCTTCAGACAGGAAACAAAATCAGAGAGCACAGCAGTAGCTCAGSGGTCCCAGATAGTTTTGCCAATGAAAACCATTGTTCCTCTCCTTGTTCACTTCTCCTCGTAACMAGAACAACGTGTTTAGGTCATTTTCAAACAAGATTGCTTAAGGTTCAGCATCTCRTGTGCTCTTTGACAAGGTGCCAAAGGAAGAGTGAGGAGAAAGAGGGAASGTTTCTGCCAGATGGGTGCCAGCTCCCCCAGGACGCTTCACAGCCCCAGGTGTTGGTTTGCATCACACCTACACACTCTGCTTTCTGGGCTGGGCTTGGCTTCAACACTCCCTTTATTTTTAGCCACGCTTTCAAGAAAAGGGGAAAAGAAAAATGTCAGAATCTCTGCAGCTTCCTGAAGCCCATGAGAAAGAGAAAGCTCAGGAGTGAGCAGGCAGCTGGAAGGGCCATAGTTCTCCCCACTGAAGGCTCCAGCCAGCCCAAGGGATATCTCTGCCTGTGTTCCAGTCCATGTCCAGGAGCAGTGGTCATCCATTAGGTTTGGCCAATGCTGGAGAAGGGCATTCCAGTGTGGAACAGGGCCGTGCTCTGGTTCTGCCCACGGCAAAGGCACAGGCATTATCCCCTCTGTGTGTAACTCCTCCTGCATCCATCCCAATGGCAACGTGTGCTGCAGATCCAGCACTGTTCACAYGGCTCCAGACATATCTGGAGAGGAGACCTGAGTGACAAACTGGTGCTGCAGGAAGTGGTTTGGGTGATTTGGTAGGTGGCACCTTCCCCCAAGGTAGCAGCATGATGGAAGTGCTCACAGGGATCCGGGCTCTGTGCTGCTGCAGGAGCTGCTGTTTTAATGACATCCCAAGCTCACCACTTGTGGTCACCCAAGATCCCACTTCTTGCAAGGGTGGAGGTGTCAGCTCCAGAGGCCCAAGCAGGCTCCACTCTCCAATTATGCTCTGCTGAGCCCAGAGCTGCAGGAATTTCCACTGGACACACTATTCCTCACTCTTTTTTCCTGCTATGACTACTGAGCAGTTTTCCCAGGTGCCAGAAAAAAAAGCATTCACAGAGGCATTTCAAATTCAAATGCTTTCCATTGTCTTGAAAGGGCTTTTCCTGTTTTTGTCCCCTGCTTTCTCTCTGGGATTCACCAACCCCAKTGTCTGCTTCACTTGGCTGGTGTAATTCTCTGCTCATGTTGGCTTTGCTCTCCTCCAACTCACCCTGGGCTCTGAAGGTCATGGACATCCCCAGCTTTTGGTGCCTCACAGCAGACTCCATCTGCCCTGTTCTCCATCACCACGCAGGAAGGTATCAACTGCACCTTGGTCCTTGACAGGAGATGCCAGCTGCTACCAGAAAAGAAATAATCGATKATGAGACTGACATTAACGAAATATGAGATTGTGACTTGGGACAGACTAAAGCCATAGAAAGCATTTTAAATAATTCACCATCCTGACAGTAAAGCATATTAATGGAAAAGACATTCAGGGCCTTTCCCAGTGGCATTAGCTTCTATGTAACCAGAGCTGGTACCGTGAGCTGACAGCAAAATGAGATTTCTGCTGGGTAGGGAATCTTGGCATTTCAAAATATATTTGAAAAGCACGGCTTTCCCCCCATCTCTCCTCCCCAAATTATTTACAAACATTAAAATATTTTGTTTTGGTAGTATTGCCTATAAGGCAACTAAATCCAAAATAAAATAAAAACACAAAATGCTGAAACAAATTGCAAGTCCCTGAGATGTGCGCTGGCAAAACWTTCATCCAAATCACTGCCTGCTGCAAAAATGCTTCTATTTTGGCAAACCCACAGTTTTCCGGGGGTAGACTGATCCACCAGAGACTTCTGAACCCGCAGCATGTGGCAATGGAGGCTGAAGAGAGACACTGTGTGGGAGGCAACGTTTAAAATGTCGCTGTTTTGCTTTTCACTTGAAACCACTCCAAGGGCCGTGGGGAAAGCGTTTGAGAGCAGGAGCTGTGCTTTGGCTGTCTGGGAAAGTTCTGCCAGTGCATGGGCAGAGCGTGGGGTTACCCAGAAAAGCCCTGCTCACCCACAAACACCCCTGGAAYGGTGAATGTTACCCAGGCAATTATTTTAAATTTATCTCAGCAATTAAATGCAATTCTGCTCACACAGCAGATATATCCGTGCTGGGTGATTATAGCCCAAGAGGCTGTTGACAATGTTGTGCTGGCTGCACCCACCTCAGCTGCTGTGGCACTGGGGGGGACAGCAGGACTGTCTCAGTCAGGCAAAGGGCATCTTCATGAACTTCATTATTCATATTTCCTCCACACAGGCAGCTCTTCATAGGGAAAAAGTGTTTCCCTTGGGTTGGTGGGTGGGAATGAATGAAGGATGCACCAATGGCACAGCTTTGGCAGCTCGGGCCCCACACAATCACCTGCACWCACATTGTAGGGCTGGGTTACAGGCACAGGGACCCAGTGATGTCTCCTCTGGGATGGCAGAACCTTTCCATGTTGGCTTCTGGGTGTCTATGGACACCTTACAACCACAGTCCCATGCAAAATTCAGACTCAGCTCCTCTCCTCAATGTTGAAATCACTGCCGAAATCCCAGTGGGAAATTCCTCTGAGGTGTGACAACACTTGAGGGACAGCACTCCCTCCTGCTCCTGCCAGCCCAGGAGGTCCTGCTGCTCACAGGGATGCTCTAAACAAGCCAGGTGAGGAAAGAGCTGGGAGAGAAACACCTTGTTGTGGTTTCACCTTAAAAGGTCCGTTCTGTTACTCGCTGTGCAACGTGCTCAGGAGCTGCCACAGGTGATTAAACGTCCGGGAGTTATTAGATCACACACGGATAATCCTCCCTGTACCTGGCAACGTGACTCGTTATGATTCATAAATTCCAGGGGTGTTATGATTCCCAGACGGATGGAGTGTGTTGAAAACTCCCTTCCACAGCTTTAGCAGCAGAAAACCATGAGGGGTGTCACAGGCAGTGCTGAAGATCCCCCACAAGGGTACCCATAAAGGGACCTCCTTAATTTTGAGGATAAAATGGGATTTCTCACACCCTTTTCCACCAGGGTGCTGTGAGATGCCTGAGCCACCTGGGAGGGGGCAGGGGACAGAGGGGTGAGGGGACACAGCCTAGAGGGGGACACATAGGAAGGAGGTGTTATTGGCTGGTTAGAAAGGCAGAAAAGGCAGCAAGAACTGGGGTTTGTCTCCTCAGTCTCCACAGCAGTTGGCTCTGGGCTAAAGTCACAACAAGAGTTTGATTAGARAGAGCTTGATTTGTGAAGGGGATGCAATTAAAACCTTGGATCCTCAGGGCTGAACCAACTCCTGCCTCACTGTGGGCCATGGTGGGGCTGTTTCTGCTCCTCCACTTTCTTTGAATTGCTCCTGCTGCAGCTCTTCAGGTCAAGGCAAAATCCAGCTGAGCTGCTGAGGATGAGCAGGAGCAGTGTTGTCTCCCTGAGCATCAAAATGGGAGCACAGAACAGGCCTGAGAAGAGGCGAGCTAATCCAGGGATGAAAAATCCTTCAAACATTATTAAACACAAGGGCAAAAATGGTGYCTCAGGAAGATCCTGAGTGCCAGCTCATGTGTGTGGGCAGCATAGATGCAGGAGACCTCCTGAAGTGGCTCCTTTTATCCTGAAGTGTCATCTTTTATCCAGAGGCACTTCCCTGGCCACTTTGCAAGAGGAGAAAGGGGGCTGGTTGGGCTCTGGATCTGATTCCAATGATTCTTAGCTGAGATGAGATGAGATGAGCAACTGCCTGTGGATGTAGCTGGATCTCTGGAGAGTGTTGCAGTCACCCTCTGTGCTACTGCTAWGTGAGAAGCATCAGCTTTGCCCCAGGCAGCAGTTTTGGGTGCTCAGCAGGAAGGGCTGGGAGCTCTGGAGTCAGGAGCAGCCACTGCTTCCCAAAGCTCACCTTCCACTGACTCACAAACCCTCGGGCTGCATCCAGGACTGACCCCAAAAGAGAAGCACCTTCRAGCTGGGAGATGAAAGCCTCGAGCCCATCCATCCTGATAACATGAAACTTTTGCTTTTGAGATGCACTGGTGTCACCAAGTTCAGGTATAAAACCCCACTAAATATTTCATTCTCATCAATTGCTTGCTCTAAGTGCCTTCTGAGGAATTCATGGGAACGTTTTCTATTTGACACAGAGATACTTTCAATTATGAAAGATGGCTAAAAATAAAAGGAAATTATACTGTTCAGACATCTCTGGAGGTGGAGACAGGAGAGGAAACCGTCAAGGAGAGCCAGGGAAGAGATTTTTGTTAGATGTAGAGAAAGGCTACTTATTTTTATAGACAGAAAATGTCAGGAGAGAGCCTGACTTGAGAATCTGGAATCTGTCACTCACCTTCTCTATTAATAATTTGACCTCAACTATTTAGGGTCTGAGCCAGAGAACTGGAGTAAAGAGTCATGTCAGTCTCTTTTTCTGATTGCAGGGGGTTTGATCACTCTCTGAAAATTCTCCATGTAGAATTTTTTTTTAATGTGTTTTCCTTATTTTTTTTTCTTTTTAAATGCAGGACTCCAGCCTGTGACACTAAGAAGACTCTTTTTGGGCTTTCCTTTAAATGTGAGAGGCTTGGGCTGATAACCTAGGGCTTCTTACAGAGAGGCAGGCAGTGGTGATGTAGCTCTTGCAGAGATGTAACTGTACCCTGGGTCAGGAGCTCATCTCCAACAAAGGACCCACCACACTGAGAACAAGGGCTGATGCTGACTGATGAGCAAAGGCTGAAGTTAAAACCTTGCCCTGACAGGAAAAAACATGAACARTCCCCAAAGAGTGTCCCTTAGGAGAATGCAGCCAGCAAGATGAAATTGCCATTCATGCTTTTTAGAGATGTTCAATGTATTAGGAATTCAATTAAGAAAATGTTCCACTGCAGGAAGCTCAAAAATTAAGATTATCATTATTGTAGAGGAAGGAAACATTTTTAATGCATTAATTTTTTAAAATGACATCCCTACAGACAATCCACTTTCCTTGCAGCACCCAGGACAGCAAAGGAGAGCAATTTTCTTCAGCAATGAGAACTGCAGCAAGAAGGTTACAGAGGAGCAGATGATACAAAGAAGGTTTTCTGTGGGATGCAGAGTGCTGGAGGATGCCAGGCTGGATAATGGGCCCTGAGCTGTTGCCTGGAGGAGATGACAGCCCTGAATTCCTTGATTTACCTGTAGTCTTGACCTGTAACTTGCTCTACATCTTTCCACTTCAGGAGGYTGACCTAGATGGAGGCAACATCAGTGACCAGCATTGACTCAAACAGGGCTGTGAACCCAAAGAAAAAGGGTCTCTGTGCACTTCCCTCATGTCCCCAGACCAGGCATTTACTGCCCACATGTCTTYCTGTGTTATGTTTGCATAGTGCCAATAGTCCTGATCCAGGGAATGGGTGAGTGGGTCCCTGCTGCTGCCTTCCTATCTACAAAATAAAGCAACAATTCAGCTCAAAGCAAAAGGTGTTCCCAAGCACCTCCTCAAAATAAGTCTGGATGGGGGAGGTGGGTTGGGTTTTTTATTTGCAGGACGAGATATCACATGGAATCCAAGAATAGAATAAGTTGCAGGGGAGGGAGAGGAGGAGGAGGAGGAAATCACTGCTTTTGCATTTCTTGTTCCCTTTCCAAACCTTGTGCATGCCACRGTTTTAATTAATAACTCTGTCACCCATTGTAGAGTTCAAACAAAGGAGTACAAGGAGGATGTATTCCAGGCGTGCAGGTATCTGGGGAAAATGAAGTGATGGCTTTATGCTTTGAGGCCTCATAATGGGGCTCYAGCTTTTACTCAAAAGTTGTTCTCTGCCAGGAGTTATCTGAAACATCACCTCAGGAGGACACTTTGAAGCTGGACTCAAATAGTATTTAAAATGAAGAAAAAAGTCAAATACTTCATTTGGAGGCTAAATAAAATAAACAGACACACAAACACAACCACMAGTAACAACATTTCTCTGCAAGGCTCCTTATTTCTCCCACCTGACACACTCCCACGAGCATCCACTGCCCCTCTCCTGACAGATGGGACAGTCCTGCTCCCAGACCAGCCCCAAGAGGATGAGGCAAGTGCCAGTGCCTGCTCTGGAGACTGAACTGAGTGTCAGTGATGCTCTGTGCACAGCAGCAGCACTCAGAGCTCTGTGCAGGCTCTGTGCTGTTTCCAGTGATGTCTGCTCAGCACATTCCCCTTTGTTTTGGGGCAAGAAGCGACTCAGCTGGGTCCTGCCCTGTTCAGGAGTGGCAGCTCTGCTCAATCTCTGCCCCATGTGGTTTGGGTTCACTGCAGAGCACTGCACCCATTCACCTTTTTCTCTGCCTTATTTA